TGGACCCTGAGGAGCCAAAATGAGTAAGATGGTCCTCACCCCTTAGAAACATACAGTTTAGTACAGAAGACACACAAGTAAACCACTTGGTGACAGTTCTGTGTAGTGAAAGTCTATGAAGTAAGCACATGGTGTTAGTGGATCCCGGGAAGGGCCCCACAATCAGGATTAGCTCTTAGCATCTCAGGAAACTTCAGCCCACCGTCCTGGGAGCAAAGCCAACTCTCTCACCGAGTTACCAGTGTTTGGGGAATTAAGGAGGTACAAAACACTACCTACACAGTATTGTCTATTCTCAGGGTCAATGACTTCCTCTCTTCAGCAACGGTCACAGGGGATTACTGAACTATATACACAGCAGAGAGAAAGCTCATTGGAGACTCCAACCTATCTACCAAAATTGCACACTGTCTAAATACAAGGTGGTATCCTGGTTTGGATCTTAGAACAGAAAAAGGTTTTTAGTGGAAAAACTTGTAAAATCCAAATAAAGTTGTAGTTCAGCTAATGGTATTGTACCAAAGTTAATTTCTTATTAGATGTGACAACATACCATGGTTATATACATATATATATATGTGTGCATATATATACACACACATACACACACACACACACACACACACACACCATGATTAACCTAATGGTTAACATTAGGGGAAGAACTGGGTCAAAGATATACAGAAACTCTCTGTACTATCTTTGCAACTTTTCTATAAATCTAAAGCTACTCCAAATCCAAAATAAAATGTGATTTTTATAAAATTACAACTTGTTCCCCTCTTTACATTCTCATTGCCCCCCCCCCCCAGGATTCCGATCATGCCTCCCTAATCCCTACCCAACCAAGGTAATGCTTGGTTAAAACACTTTTTTCCATTCCTTTTCAATCTTTTCTATAAATCATTTACACAGCCCAGCTGAGTTCCCATCTTCACCAAGACATGAGAAACTAGATTATACCTAGGAGGTTTTAATTGTTTTTTTCTTCCTAATAGCTTTACCACATACACCAGGAGTATCCTTGGGAGTGGAGCCTCTCCAAGTGGACAAAAGAGGGGTTAAAATAATCTGAGCTGGATCTCTGGATAAGAGCAAGGGACCCTACAGAAAATTTATGTTGTATATCATTAGATTACCTTTATCTGATCTCTGGCCAAAAAGGATAATGAATAGAAAATACAAGGAACAGATGCTGACTACCCGTATCTCAACACCAAGAGGCAAACTGCACTGAAATGATGCTGCAGCTAGAAGCTCCAAAAAACATGGTGCAAATTCGTCAACTATCCAAGGTAACAGAAATTCATATTGAACAAAAATTCATATTAAAATCATACGGTGTGGCGCTTCGGTAGGGTAAGTGTCCGACTTTTGATTTCAGCTCAGGTCATGATCTCAGGGTTGTAAGATCAAGACCTGTGTCCACGTGAGGTATGGAGCCTTCTTGAATTCTCTCTCCTTCTATCTCTGCCCTCCCCCAGTTAAAAAAAATATATATGGTACTCTTCAATACAGGTTAAATGATGAAACATACATTTACCAAGACTGTCTGGTTTCTGATAACTAGATGAATACTCATCTCTATTAAGCCATAACTTGTAGAAGAGGCTTCAAGAGTCCCTAAGGAAAACATCGGTGATAGAACACCCTATCAAGGCGTCAAGCATGTGTGTGTGTGTGTGTGCACACATGTACCCACGGACATACACACAAACTGCAACAAGGTTAAGCAACCTCAACAGTTTGAAAACTATTATATAAAAGAATATTATTAGTGAAGGCTAAACATTCATGAAGACTTCAAAGGAAAAGAAACCAAAGAAAGAGAAACTGAAATTTAAACCTAAGCTATTTAATGACTAAAGTCATTTCAAAAGTAAAATGATATACTAGAATCCGCTGAACTCATTAAGTCTGATATGTTATATGGTATGTTGGAACATATGTAAAATATAGATCACGCAACAGTACTCTAACCAGGACCACTTCTGTAGAGATGAACAGGTAGAGTAATTCCCATAAAAGAGTTCAATTTGCGTTCGTCTGTTGAACAACCTTACCATCATTGATCTGCTCACAAGTCTATCTCCAATATAGGCCTGAGATCCTGAAGAGTAACGAGCACACTGCCTAAGGGCAGAATGGGCCCTTAATACACGCCTTCCCAATGAGCGAACGTGCAGTGGTAATATACCTCCGAGGTATCCTTACAAACCACTTGGTATCAACACCTTAGGAGCAGAACATGCTGTATACCATGTTACATATTTAGGAGGCAGTCAAACTCACTGAAAAATAATTTCTACCAACTAATGTTGGGGGAAAAAAACTCATCACATGAGACATCAAAAGAAGGGTAAAAACTGTAACTTGAAAATGAAGAAAGTATCTGTGAATTCGTTTTCTTCCCTGGATCGCCACAAAAGTAAATCTACCTTTAACTTCCTAATATGGAAATACAAGAGTTTCAAAAGAATCTTTCGTTAGCCATAATTTTATATAAAAAATGTGTTATTAACTTAAATTGGTAAGGAAGACCAATTAGTGGATGGAATGAAGTCCAAGCCCAATTATGTGTTCAAAACTGTGGGTCGGATGCCTTAAAAAATTCTTTCTCTTCAAGACTGCAGAAAAATACAAAACAACCCTCTTGACTGCTGTGAAGGACTAAAAGTATTTCTTTTTCTCACAAATATGTAATCAAAAGCAATTACTTTCTGCTCCTACCCAGCACAAAGCAATGCCATCTCCTCCCTTCCATCACCATCAAAACACGCTATGGAGCATCTCAGTACTTTAATCTTAGACTATAAGAATGTCAGATTGCAATAAAATTACAATTCAACGAAAACATTTTTCTAAGTATGTTCTCATTCCCTGCAGTGTTCCTATACTAATTTAGGTCCCTCTCAAGTATTAATAAACAAGAAAACAAGAAAATTCTCAGAACAGGTATTCCAAATTGTTTTTTTTCTTTTTAATTTACTATTGTTCATGGATTCCAAAATTCATGGTACTAACATTACCAGGACAGTATCTTTCTGTCAATGGCAGAATTTAAATGTGAATTACTATTTAAATTATATGCAATTTTCCCTCTGACCCAACCTATAATACCGGTCAACAACCAAATGTTTAAAATAAACAACTAATCATGTTTACTTAAAAAGGTTATTGCTGAATCACCGAGAGGTTCTAATGCATCGAAAAAGCGGTAGCTCTCAGCTCTAGCCATGAATGCAGCTTGCAGACAAGCTGTCTCAAAAAGATTAGGAACGTCTAGTGACTGCAAATGGGGTAAAGCAGAAGGCACATACGTTATCTGTAGATGGTTCACTAATAAAACTGTTTCAACATCAAAAACTCAGAGCCTACAAAATGCCTGCAAGCCAAAAAGAAGAAGGAAGAAAAGTGCGTCCATATAGAAGGCAACATGAGAAACCACCCTGCAATTGAGCTTTTCAAGAACTGCAAACTTCATAAGGTTCTTGGAGCTTTCACATTCAAGTTCCAAAATAGAGCAACTATATTAAAAGAAAATTGGCATAAAATTCTAATGCCACCACATGTTGAAAGACACACAATAAATAATAATAGAAAACACTTCAATAGCGTTTTATCTGAAGTCCCTGTTCTAGGGACTTCACATTCTTATTCATTTACTCCTGATAACCTTCCTATAAAACAGATTCTATTAAGATTATCTCCACTCTATGGATGAAGGAACTGAAGTACGGATAGATCAATTCACCCAATGTCATACAGCCAGGAAGAGGAAGAGCAGGAGTTTAATTCCATTAGTCAGACTCCAAAGTTTTTGTTAACCAATGCACCGTGTTTTATGAAATGGTCAGCTTTTTTTTTTTTTTTAACCTAATAACATTTTTGGATTTCAAACACGAGGATAGTTTTGTGCAATAAGAGTACAGGCTTTGGAATCAAATCAAACCTGAACAAACTCCTGAACAAAGTCAAACCTCAGCTTCCCTGTACGTAAAAGGCAGGTATTTAAGTTATGGTGAAGGTCAAAGTAGATAATGCAAGTGCCACGTATAGTATACAAGATAGGGGTTCTTAACCTTACGTTCACAGACATCAAGTATCCACAGAAGGGCTTCAGAGTCTCTTTGTCTTACCAATTGTATGACAAATGTTGTATGTGCCCACCCCTCCTTTTAAGAATCGTCTCCGGCTGTCCACAAACCTTCAGGGAATACCTGGATCTCTGAAAGGTTAAGAACCACCAAAGTACACAGCAGCTACTCAAAAAAATGGAAATTCTCTTTCCCTTCTTATTCTCAAAAACTGTCCCTTTTCCATTAAGGGTGACACAACAAGGCTTCCCAATAAATGTCAATTATTTCCCCACCATTTTCCTGGCTTGGTAACTAATAACATATGTAAAGCTTATGTCCCAATTTCCTAGAGATGGTCTAAAGAAAGCCCTCAAACGATGATTCATCCCTCACTGCACCGAGATGAATCCACAGTATTTACTCGAGAAAATCGTGAGAATCATCCACCTAGCTGCACGAAGCACCATGTCAGCTAGGAGAACCGAGTAGGTAATAGAACCTCCCAACTGCACCCTAGAGACCTGAACCCCAGCGCTGAGGGATGAGGAGAATGTGTTTCCCTAAACTAGTGGAAAACCCTAAAGTCTGTTTCCCCCATCCCTGTCCTGCCTCTCTGGAACTGCAGGGAAGTCCTGGGGCAGTGCCCCGGGCTACAGTGGGAAAGGAGAGAAACGTTACCCGAACAGCGCGGCAGAGTTCCAGCTCTGCTGCTGGGGGCGGCGGCTTCAGCACCGCAGCAAGACTGGCTCAAGATCCTCCCCGCAGAGACCCCAGTACAGATCTCGGCTCCGGCTGGGAACCGGCTCCAAGCTTTTCCGTTTCCCAAAGCGGCTTCCGCTTCCGGGCTAGGCTTTGCAGGAAGCAGTATTTGGATGACGCAAAGTGTCGCGCGGTTGGTGATTCCGGAAGAAACAAGAGCAAGACGTGAGGATGGTGAGGGGAGGGTTGGTGAAGTGATTTTGTTAGACCACGTTTTGGGAGAGGTCGAGCCAGTCAGCCGTTAGCCAAATTTCCTCTGTATTACTCTTAATTATTTTCATTCTGACTGTAGTTCTTAAACTGCTCCTAAAGGTGCCTGCTATGCTGTAGCGAGTGGGGAGAGGAGGAACAGATTGGGGCACAGAGGATAAGAGATGGTGGGTATTTGAGGGAAGAAGGGAAGGGAATGGACAAAACACGAGAAAGAACTCAAGAAGATACTATGTATTTCTAATTCTTTTAACTCTAAAATTTCTGTTTCAAGGGGAAGCAAAAGAAAGCAAGGAAGTATGCGACAATGAAGCGAATGCTTAGTCTCCGAGATCAGAGGCTGTGAGTATCTGGAATAAATCTATTCCCTAAGATAAAAGAGTTAGGAGGACATAAGTAGTAAGAGTTTTGTCTTTATTTTGTGTTTACGTTTAAAGTTATTGTGTCTTGGTTTTGTATAGATAGGATAGTAAGCAAGTGTGTAACAGCCACTTAGATGCTGAGTGATTAGGGAAGGGGGTGGGAATTAAACATTTCTGAAGTGTTCGCTCTCTTCCACCGTTTTTATGTCTTTTATCTATCATATCACATTTAAGCCCCCTTGAAGCTGGTAGGTTGGAATATCTTTGTGTTCTTGCCATTACCTTTCTTATATTACCCAGTGGAAAAAAAAATTTGTTAAGATTGTTGAAAAACGATGAGGTCAGAGACCGTGTTTGCCTTGTGTTCCCAGCATCTGTCACATAAATATTTTTAGAAGAAAGAATGGGAAAACACCTAGATGTCTCCATTTTATAAATCTTATAAGAATCCAAACCACTGTGTGAGAGTGAAATGATACTGCCTACTGTAAGCTTCCTTGCTTCAGTGAAGAATAGACAAAGTTATGAAATAAGAAGTGGTCTTGGGGCACCTGGCTGACTCAGTAGATCACGGGACTGTTGATCTAGGGTGGTGAGTGCAAGCCCCACCTTGGGCCTAGAGCTTACTTTAGAAAGGAAGGAAAGGAAAGAGAGAAGAGAAGAGAAAGACTGGTCTTCCTTGTATTTAATAACCTTAGAACAAAGAAATGCTCTTCAGGTACTAAATTGTATTTTCAGCCTTTAGTATGTATGTATTATGTAACTTTTAGGGAATTTGCCTCTTTGATAATATTTTATTTCCAGTTAAGTGTTAAATTTTGTGTATGTGTTTTTACGTTTTAGTCTTTTATAAGAGGCATATAGGGGAACCTTTTTCCTCCCTACTATTGGAACATTGGAGTCTTCAGAAGATAAATGTTAGCCTGTTTTTCCACTGCATTGAAATGGATTTTGATCCTTGATATGAAGAGCTTCTGACAAAGAAATGATAGTATAACTAACATTTATTTTCCCATTAACAATTTTTTTTAGATTTTATTTATTTATTTGTCAGAGAGAGACAGAGCACAAGCAGGGGAGTGTCATGCAGTGGGAGAAGCAGGCTCCCACCTAAGCAGGGAGCCCGCGATGTGGGACTTGATCCGAGGACCCTGAGATCATGACCTGAGCGGAAGACAGAAGCTCAACTGACTAAGCAGCCCTGGTGTCCCCCCTTTAACAGGTTTTATGGATTATTGGCTAGAGATTTTTAAATTTCATTATGTTTAACTGATTAGTTATTCTCAGCCTACTTCCCACACAGTTCCACACAATTTTTTATGCTTAGAAAGTGGATGTGGGTATTAACATGAAGAAATCACAAAATGGGATTTCCTTTGTAAGCAAAAAAAAAAAAAGAAGAAAGAAAGAAACTTTAAATGTTGAATGAGATTATAACTACAATGAGTTTTTCCTTCTCTCTTGCATTTAATTTACTTTCTTTTTTCCTAGTAAAGAAAAGGATAGATTAAAACCTAAAAAAAAAGAAAAGAAAGATCCCAGTGCACTCAAGGAAAGAGAAGTGTGAGTAATCAAAAATTTTAAGTTTTCCTTTAAACCTAGAAACCTAACATTTTAGAACCATAGAATTCTTAGAAATCCAGGCTTTCCCTGAGCTGTTCTGTAAGCCATCTGTAAGTCTGGCACAACTATGCAAATGAAAGTGATATTGGTGAACGTGTATCCATTCTAGTAGTTGGAAGGTTTTTGGATTTCATGGAGCAGTGAAATTTCCCCTAAAATCTTGGGGATTAGATTTAGAATCATTAATTTTTTTTCTTTGCTGTGATCTTTCAAAAGAAACAATTATCATTGTTTAACACACCAGCATTGACGAAAGAACGTATCATCAAAAGTAGTAATGACAAAATTTCAAGGTCATTCTTCTTAAAAAAATACACCTAATTTTATGAAACACCATCATATTTTCTTTGTTATCTCATTTTGCCCTAAATTGGTAATGGATATATCATCACAGGATTTATTAGGATTTATTTTCAATAAATAAGGAAAAGGAACTTAATCTATAGCAAACAGTTTAAAGCAGAGACTTCATTTGTGTTGTTGATATCAAAGTATCAATGTAGACATTACTTTGTGTTTTGTGTCTTCTTCCTTCAGCCCCCAACATCCTTCCTGCTTATTCTTCCAATATAACACTCAGCTGGGCCCACCTTACCACATCCTGGTTGATACCAACTTTATCAACTTTTCCATTAAAGCCAAACTTGACTTAGTACAGTCAATGATGGACTGTCTTTATGCCAAGTGTGAGTATCATACTTTTACATTTCGTATCATTTATAAAGGATAATTATAATTATCCAAATACATGAAAAGAAGGGAGTGGGGTCTTAGTTAGTTGGATTTCTGGTCATTTAATTTGCTCACTGTAGCAATGACCATTTTCAGTGAGTTGAAATATAATGCAGACTTGACTGGAAATAATTGAACGTCACAATCAGAACATACTTAGCCTGCTTTGATGTTATGAACATCAATTTTGAACATGGGATGGGAATTTTTTGTTTTAGAATTCCGGATTTTAACATTCTGGGTAAATGAAAACTTATTATGTTTTTCAGAATACTTTTACATCAAGAAGGAAACATTCTCCTTTCCGCTCCATTGTGGAAAAGCTAAATAAGATATTTTGCCATTTATGGTCACAGAACTAGACGTAATGCTGTTTCGTGACTCCTAAGTTTATTCAGTGTGGTATTTATTTGTGCCACAAAGGACCAGAAGTAGTTTATTTATACCTAGATGTGCAGTTTACCATTAGTAGCTTTCCCTTGTGTTTGGGTGTCCCATCCCTCAAGTAATCTTCCTTCACTACCATGAGTAAGAAAAAGAAGAAAATCTAGGCCATGTACAAGGAAATCACTTCCTCATAGTGAGATCTGTTGTTGCATTTTGTGAGGGATTTACATTTATATTTTTTAATATATTTACATTGCATTTTTTAACCTTTTTTAAAAGGTACAAATGAAAACTAGACTTATACTTTGCCATAAAGAATAAATTGAAGTAAAAAATTTGCACGTGCTTTAATTTTTAAAGGATGCTATATAATGAACATTTATAGAGTGATAGTAACATAAATGTTGTTTATTGATTGATTGAAACTAACAAGTTGGGAAGATAGGGTAAGAAATGTGATGAGTAAGAGATCTAAGTTCTTTAAATGCCGTAAAATTAATAAATACAAAAGTGCATAAGTTTATTATATCAAGATATGAAGGTAACCACCAAATGAGAAAAACAGCTAATGAAGTAAAATAGTGGTCTCTGAGGATCCGAATTGGTGGGGTAGGAAAGGATTTTTTCACACAGACTTTGCCATATTTCTTTTTAAGCTGTGGACGTGTGATATTTTAATTGGTTTAAGCTTGTTGGAATAATAAAGAAAAATAACCTGAGGGTTTTGAAGGGGCCGGGGTGGGGGGGGGCGGTGGTGGGAGGTTGGGGGAGCCAGGTGGTGGATATTAAGGAGGGCAGGTATTACATGGAGCACTAGGTGAGGTGCAAAAACAATGAATACTGTTACGCTGAAAAGATATTAAAAAATAATAATTAAAAAAATAAAGAATAACCTGAAATGGGGACCCTACCTTCCTGTGGTAGTGGACTAGAGTGGCCTTGGATGAGGGAAGACAGTACATGTGGTAGACTTTAGTTTTCCCATGGTGTTTTTTATGACTATAAATAAAGTGTGCTAGCTGCTTATCTAGAAATGCCTACTTATAAATGACCTACTTATAAATGAAATGGATGGAGGTTCAGTCATGGCCCTTTGAAGGCAATTTGTTTCCTTGACTCTATAGGTCCATCACTATTATCTAAATAGTGACCGATTAGAAAAGCACTCATCCGAGAGGAGTGCTTTCTCTGGATATGGATACCTTGGGAATACAGCTATAATGTGTACAGCTAAATGCTCTCACTGTGCCTTTTTTTAAAAACAAACTTATTGGGATACCTCAGACTGACTGGTGGCTCAGTCCAGCATCCGACTTGATTTTGGGTCAGGTCATGATCTCAGGGTTGTGGGATCGAACCCAGTATTGGGCTCCATGCTGGACGTGGAACCTGCTTAAGATTCACCCTCTTCCTCTGCCTCTCCACCCATCTCTGCCTCTCTCAAAACAAAAAAAAAATAGTGATTTTTTAATAAAATAAATAAAAAATAAATAATAAATAAATTAATAAATAGTAAATAATAAAATAAAAACTTTTTAAGGAAAATACCACTTTCTGCAGTCTTCTGTATAACATAATACTTCAAAGGAAAGGTTGAAGAAATAGTCAAGTATGGTACAAATTCAGTTACCTAGGAGATTCCTTCACTGTTTTTAAGCTCTAGCTATTTAATTTTTCCTCACTTGTCTTTATACCTGAAGGAAGACCTTTATCTTCCTCTTCCTTTGAAGATGCCCCTTTGACCTTTGGCCTGGTCCCATTCCTCCCTGATATTCCAACAAGGGAGGATAGTTAGCTTTCTGTCAGCTTTCTTTTCTGCCCATGAGTGTTCTTCCCTGTTACCTTCCCTTTCTTGATAGTCCTCTTCCTGGGCCAACTTTCCTGCTCCGCATGCAAGCCCTTGGTTGGTTTACTGCTACGTGGTTCTGAAATTGACCCTCTTAAGTTGCATATTGCCCTCTGACTCCACCATGACTGTTTGATCTTACTGATTTTATACCTCCATTTTACAACTGCTTTTTCTTCTGGATGTTGTACTTTAGTTTAGAATTTAACTTTGTCCATGTTCAAAAATATTTCTGTACTTGTGGAAAAAAAAATCTAGCATAAAAACATTAAAGCCCCCTATAACGCCTTTCCTCACGGGGGGACAGTTTTTATTTTTATTTTTTACATTTTCTTTTTTTCTTAATAGGCTCCACACCCAGTGTGGAGCCCAGTGTGGGACCTGAACTCAGGGCCCTGAGATCAAGGCCTGAGCTGAAATCAAGGGTCATATGCTTAACTAACTGAGCCACCTAGGTATCCCTCTAAAATGTAATATAAAATCTCTGTGAATTATAGGTTAATTTTGTTTATTTTATTAATGAAAATGGATCCTAGATTATTTACAATTTGTCTTTGTGCCTTTTTTAACAACTTGGAGACATAAATTCACATACCATTTAAAGTGTATGATTCCGTGGCTTTTAGCGTATTCAAAATCAATTTTAGAATATTTTATTACCCAGAAGGAAACTCTGAACCCTTTAACCATCATCCCCAACCTTTCCTCTTTCCCTCCCTAGACAACCACTAACTTGCCATATATCTCTATAGATTTACCAATTTTGGACATTTCATTAAAGTGAGATCATAAAATATTTTGTCCTCTTACATTTAGCATGTTTTCAAGGCTAAATGTTAAAGCATGTATCAATACATCATTTCTTTACGTTACCAAATAACATTCTATTGTATGGCTAGATTACTCATCCATTTTTTTCTTACTTTTACATTGAACAAATAACAAATAAATTTTTTTAACGGGTATTTATTTATTTATTAGAGAGAGAGCATGCACATGCTCAAGTGGTGGGGAGAAGGCAGAGGAATAGGGAGAGACAGACTCCCGCCGAACAGGGACCACCCCCCCCAACCCAGTGCAGGGCTTGATCCCAGGACCTTGGGATCATGACCTGAGCCGAAGGCAGACATTTAACCAACTGAACCACCCAGGTGCCCCTTGAACAAAATATATCTTGAACATTTTGCTGTGTCAGTATATATAGTGGACTTTATTCTTTTTTTTAAGTTTACATAGTATTTACATAATTTTTAAAAATTAATATTCTATTTGATACTTGGATTACTTGCAGTTTTTACCTTACTATAAATAAGGCTGTAGTGGATATCAGTGTAACTATGTCTCTGTTAGGGTGGAGTCGTTCTTTAGGATACATTTCTAGGAAACTATTGCAATTTCAAGGGGTATGTATATTTTCTTACTTTAACGTATTGCAAAATTGCCCTAAAATAGTAATACATATTTTTACACTTACTAACTTAGTGTGAGAATACCTGTTTCCTCAATATTAGGTATTTTCCTTGTTTAATCTTTGCCACTCTAGTAGGTAGAAAATGAAATCTTGTTTCAGTTTATAGCTCTTTAATTAGGAGTGAGATTGAGCACCCTTATTCGTTGACCATTGTATGTCTTCCTCTGTGACCTGAAGTGTATGAACTGAAATGTACCATGGTGGTTAAGAAACCAGTCTATAAACAAACTGAGGGTTGCTGGAGGGGTGGGAGGGATGGGGGTGCTGGGTGATGGACATTGGGGAGGGTATGTGCTATGGTGAGTGCTATGAATTGTGTAAGACTGATGATTCACAGACCTGTACCCCTGGGGCAAATAATTCATTATATGTTAAGAAAATTAAAATTAAAAAAATAAATAACACATGGGGAGAAAGAGGTAACTAGCGATATACTAGAATTAAGTATTGCTCTTAAGAAAAGAAAAAAAAGAATCCAATCTATAACCCGACAGTCTCTATTCAAGTCTTGGCTTCACCATTTGCTTCTACTTAACTTCTTTGTGCCTTAGGTTCCTGATCCGTAAAATGGGGATGATAATAATAACAATGCTACCTGATAGGAATTATTCTGAATAAGAAGTGAGATATCCTCCTAAAGTGCTTGGCCCAGTGGCTGGCAAATAGCATATAACAAGCACATAATATAACGAGCTCTTTGTATATTAAAGAAATTTGCCCTTTGATGAAGGTGTAGAAGTACTTTTCCTAGTTTATTTTTATTTTAATATGACTTCCATAGCTGTCAAACAGAAGTTTTCTATTTTTATAGGATCAAATTTACATTTTCTGATTAATTGTTTCTTTGGGCTCGTTTTTAAATTTTTTTCCATCTAGAATTTATTTTAATGTAGAAAGGATGACAGGGATCTAGCTTAATTTTTTCCCCCAGGCACATTCATGACACTTTATGAATCTGTAGTGTGGAATTGGGGCGGTTCAGTTCTCTACTTTCCTCATCAATAGGGATTTTATTCACCTCTTGTTCTTACTGTTCATTTCAGTGTGTTATTCTGCTGTTATTCCAGAAGCCTCATGGGTCTTTTAAAGACTCTCAATGGGTTTAATTCAGAGAGAGTAAAACCAGTTTCTTTACAGGTTCTGTTATCAATATGTATTTTTTTCCTGGCAGGTATCCCTTGTATAACTGATTGTGTAATGGCTGAAATTGAGAAACTGGGGCAGAAGTATCGAGTGGCTCTAAGGTAGGAAGGAGCTGGTCTAGATTGGTATACTCAAGATTTTTTTTTTTTTTTTTAAGATTTTATTTATTTATTTGTCAGAGAGAGAGAGAGGGAGAGAGAGCAAGAGAGCAAGCACAGGCAGACAGAATGGCAGGCAGAGGCAGAGGGAGAAGCAGGCTTCCTGCTGAGCAAGGAGCCCGATGTGGGACTCGATCCCAGGACGCTGGGATCATGACCTGAGCCGAAGGCAGCTGCTTAACCAACTGAGCCACCGAGGCGTCCCGGTATACTCAAGATTCTTGTGATCCTCCTTCATCTGTTTGCTATCTGAAGATTTCTTGGATAATTACTTTAAATAAAAACCATACAAAACTAGTTAACTATTTATGATCAAGAAAGCAAACATTCGGGGCACCTGGGTGTCTCAGTTGATAAGTGTCTACCTTCGGCTCAGGTCATGATCCCAGAGTCCTGGGATCGAGCCCTGCATCAGACTCCCTGCTCAGCGGGAGGCCTGCTTCTCCCTCTCCCAGTCACCCAGCTTGTATTCCCTCTCTCACTCACTCTGTGTCAAATAAATAAATAAAATATTTAAAAAAAAGAAAGAATGAAGAAAGCAAACATTCGAAGGTTAAAGAATTTAAAGATTTTATTTGAGAGAGAGAGCATGAGGTGGGGTGCAGGGGTGCTGTGGGCAGAGGAAGAGAGAGAAGCAGGCTCCCCCTTGAGCAGGAAGCTGGTCAGGCTGCGGAGCTCTATCCCAGGAGTCCCAAATCGGGACCTGAGCCGAAGTCAGACACTTAACTGACTGAGCCACCTAGGCATCCCTAAGCTGCAGTTTTTTGAATGAAGTTAGTTAGTCCTATTGGTCTTGTAGGCCTCCTTTTAAGTTCCTCTGGATTTTCAATTAGAAAGTGTCTTTTTATTAGCTATCTAGATATCTTTTAGAATCTCATACTTAAAAGAGTCACATTTTGAGTTTTGAGCTTACTCTAGAAGGTTCACTTGAATTAAAACTAGTGGTTCCCAAAGTATGGTCCATGGACCCCCTAGAAGTCCCAGACACCTTTGTGCAGGGAGCCTAATAAAACTATTTTCATAATAATATGAAGATGTTGTCTCTTCACTGTGCTGACATTTGTACTGAGGGCAGAAGTACTGGTGCCTTAGTACCAGTCAAGACAGTGGACCCAAATAATGCTGGTAGACTTTGTATTCTTCACTGCCCCTCACTAGCAGTTAAAAACAACACAGGGGTGCCTGGCTGGCTCAGTCGGTAGAGCACACAACTTTTGATCTCGGGATTATAAATTTGAGCCCTAAATTGGGTGCAGAGATTACTTAAAAAAATAAAATATTAAAAACAAAAAACAACAAAAAACCTCAGAGTCCCTTAAGAATATCCTTGATGAAGCAGTAAAATTTGTTGACTTTGTTAAATCTCGACCCTAGAGTACACATCGATGTTCCTTGTGATGAAGGGTAAAATACACCTAAAACACTTCTGCCACATCCCAAGAGTGAAGGTTCCTCAGTGAAAAAAAGCATTTGTGTGCTTGTTTGAGTTGTGAGCCAAACCAGCTGCTTTTTCATGGAATGTCATTTTTATGTGAAGAATAACTGACAAACACTGATTTTTCAGACTAAATTTGCAGATAGTTTCTCAAAAATTAATGCAGTGCATCTGTTACTTCAGGGAAATTCTTAACTGTATTAGCTGCCAATGATAAAATTCAAGCTTTCAAGTGAAAATTAGAGTTTTGAAAAATCACGAGCTTATCACATTCCCAATACTAAAAGACCTTTCTGTTGAGACCAGTGAAGATACTGAGTATGATTTTTTTTTGGTAATTCTGTAATGAAATGTGTTAATACTTAGAAGATTTGTATAATTCAATGAGTTGGCATTTTCCAAATGATCAGTGAATAATATTACAAAATCATGCATGGGTAAAACATTCAATCAAGGTCCAAGATGTACCAGTGAATTTGTGTGTTTCTGTGTGTGTCACCTTAAAAGGTGTACATTATATGCTATAAAATTGACCAAGTTTAATTATATAATTTGATGGGTTTGGCAAATGTGTATAGTTACGGAACCACTCATAGTCATGAAATAGAACATTTCCAACATTCAGAAGTGTGATTCCGTTTACATGAAATTCCAGAAAAGACAAAACTGTGCTAATAGAATACAGTGGTTAGCCGAAGCTGAGCGTGGTAAAAGTGGATTAACTGCAAAGGGACACAGGGAACTTTTTGTAGTGACAGAGATGTTTTATATCTCAGTTGTGGAGATAGGTGACATGGATATCTAAATTTGTCAAAACTCATCAAATTTTGCATGTATTGTCAGTGAATTTTATTATATTTCATTTATACGTAATAAAGCTAGTTTTTTTTTAAGGCAAAGAAAAATGGAAACCCAGTGTATAAGAATGGTAGCACTGCTTAGCTGAATGGGAAAGTGATAAACTATTAAAATATTATCTTTTGGAGGGGAGAGGGGTTGGGGGTTGGGGGTTGGGTGAGCCGGGTGGTGGGTATTGTGGAGGGCACGTATTGCATGGAGCACTGAGTGTGGTGCATAAACAGTGAATGCTGGAACACTGAAATGAAATAAAATAAAATGGAAAAAAAAAAGTATATCTATAGGGGCACCTGGGTGGCTCAGTGGGTTAGGCCCCTGCCTTCAGCTCAGGTCGTGGTCTCGAGGTCCTGGGATTGAGCCCTGCATCGGGCTCTCTGCTCAGCAGGGAGCTTGCTTCTCCCTCTCTCTCTGCCTGCGTCTCTGCCTACTCTCTCTCTCTGTCAAATAAATAAATAAAATCTTTAAATATATATATATATATATGTATATATATGTATATATATATATATATACATATATATACATATATATATATATATATATAGTCACTATGGAAAGAAACAAAATTGGATTTCCCTCTTTCCCAAAAATCATTTCCAGGTAGATTAAGTATCTAGACTTTTATAGAAAATATGGAGAATATTTTCATGATTTTGGAGTAGGCAGGGCTTTCTGAAGGAGTCCAAGCCATAATAGAAAACTAACTGATCTGATTATATTGCTGTTGAATACTGGGGCACCTGGGTGGCTCAGTCAGTTAAGCGTCTGCCTTGGGCTCAGGTCATGATCTTAGGGTCCCGAAATCGAGCCGCGCCTCGGGCTCTCTGCTTATTTGCAGGGAGGTTGCTTCTCCCTCTCTCTCTGCCCCTCCCTCTGCTTGTGGTCTCTCACACTATCCGTCAAATAAATAAATAAAATCTTAAAAAAAAAAGAGAAGTTGAATACTACTTTCTAACAAAAGGTAGCATAAACAAAGCAAAACAGTAAGTCACAGATAGTGAGAAGATACTAGTAATGCATATAATCAACAAAGTGCTTAGTTTCAAAATATATAAAAAACTACAAATCTATGAGAAAAAGACAAAATCCTTAAATTCACAAGGAGATATCATTTCATATGCAGCAGATTGGCAAGAATTGAAAAGTCTGCTTAACAATGCCGTGGATAGTTGAGACTGGGGACCAGTGGAAATTCTCATATTCAACAGATACGGATGTAAAGTGGACAGTCACTTTGGAGAGCAGTTTGGCAATATCACTGCAGAAAGTTCCGTCTTTCCAGCCCTGTTTCACTCTTCTCTGCACAGACGCTCTCTCCCGACCAGAAAGAGGTGCTTGTTCTTCCCTGAACACCAATGACCCAATTTATAGATGGTTGGTGCCCTGTTTGGAACGTGCCTGCCCATGGAATATTCTTCCATCTTCATTTTATTTAACATCCATGTAATTTTTTTTTAAGTGTACCAAATTCACAGTGACTTAGCTCTGAACTACTGCAATGTGGAGCATTTTTCTTGCACTTGGTACCTATGTGCTGCCTTGTGTTTTATTCAGTATGTGACTCATCATTACATAGTAGGAAGAACATGGTTCTGGGAATCACAGACTTGGGGTTTTTCTTTTTTCAAACTTGCATGAAAATAACATGTTTGATTTGTTTATGGCAAACAATATAAACATGTACATATGATAAAAAGTTGAAGTCCCTCTGCATATTCACACTTTGTCCATTCTTCCACCCTAATGGTGACAACTGAGAAGCGTTAGTGTATCTTTTTCTAGACCTTTTTTCTAAGCAAATGCAAGTGTTGATAAAGACAAGGAAAGAAATTTGTATTTTCTTTTAAAAAAAAAGATTTTTTTTATTTGACAGAGAGATCACAAGTAGGCAGAGAGGCGGCAGGGGTGGGGGGGGTGGGGGAGCAGGCTCCCTGCTGAGCAGACATCCCGATGCGGTGCCAGGCTCCATCCCAGGACCCTGAGGTCATGACCTGAGCCGAAGGCAGAGGCTCAACCCACTGAGCCACCCAGGAGCCCCAGAAATTTGTATTTTCTTAATTGAATCATATATGTATATTGTCCGATGACTTCCTTTATGCAACGGTTTGAATTTTTTTGAGTTTATTCAACAAGCCTTCTGTGTTGGTACAGACAGCCCTACCTCATTTTTTTTTTTTAAACAGGGTGGGGCATCAGAATGTATTTAACTTTTTTTATGTTGCTGATGGATAATAAGATGATCTGCAGTTTTTCACTATTATAATACTATTTATTATATTTATATATAATAATTTATATTTAATATAATTTATATTTATATTTATAATCACTATTTATAATACTATTATAAAGTATTCTGTAGTGGCCGTCCTTGTGCCTATACTCTTGCAGATTTGTGTAAGACAGCTTCTAAAAGTGAAATGGTTAGGTTAGAATTGTTTGGTTTTGAATCCCAGCTTTTCCCATCTGTGTATTTTGAACAAATTAATTAATCTCTCTGAATCTGCTTCCTCATTTGTAAAATGGAAACATAACTAATTCAGAGTTCTCTGAAGATTACGTGACCTAAGGCACAGCAGCCTCTCCCTCAGTTGTCTTTCCAATCAGAAGATAGGGTGCGGGAGGCAAGGGGTGCCTTAGAATCCCCACATAGAGCAAGTCACTCTTATTTTACAGATCAAGAGTCAGAAGGTTACCCAGTTGCCTGGTTGTCGTTGTTAATCCACTTTTGTGACCCTTCAGGATTGCCAAGGATCCCAGATTTGAACGATTACCATGCACACACAGAGGAACCTACGCAGATGACTGCTTAGTGCAGAGAGTAACTCAGGTATCACCAGTTTTTAAATGTTCACTTTGTGCTTCACAGGAAGCGTAGGTGCCCTCACTTATTTGAGGAAGTGGATTGGAAATGTATACTGTACCTGTAATGGGAAAATCACAGGCTTGGGGAGGAGACACGGATTTCAAGTCTCAGCACCTGCATTTATTTGTATGTGATTTGGGGCCCTTACTGATTCTTTATTCCACAACTCATCCCTATAAAATACTTTGAGTGAGTGTACATATAATATCATGTTTCACCTCCCTGTGAGTCAGAAATCATCCATTTCCGTTATTCCTCATGCAGGAATTTTGTTCCTTTCCACCATGCCTAAGCAAGAGTGTTTCTCAGTTACATCTGAGTGTCCCAGGATGCTGTCTTACAAGTACCCTGGAGTAATTAGGTTTTTGATTCTTCTCTTCTGGCCTCCTTGTCAAGCAGGACAAGAACTTCTGCTATTGGTTGCCCTTCCTGGACCCTCCTCCTCTGGGGATAACCGTCTTCACCTGGTGACCACACTGCCCTCCCCTTAGCCACCCCATCCCATGGGTGGAGACAGCATTTGCCTTAACTTCCCACAGCACAGCTGTCACTAGGCTACAACTCTTTTCAGAATTGATTGGGAGATTGGGGTATGATGGAAGTAAAATCTAATACAGCTGGCTGCTAAATGCTTTCACAACTGCTAGGCTCAGACTTGTCCTAGAGTTCCATTCTGATGTCCTGGCTGAGGAAGTGGCCTACCTCCACCACTAGGAGGTCTCAGAGTAGGCCTAAGCTCAGAGATTGCAGGAAAGGCAAAAGCTGGGCCCTCCGATCTAAGAGATTTACTCGGCCTTTGCATTGAGTCTTTTGGGGTATTTCTCAAAATCAAGAAATTGCCTGCCCTAAATATGAAAGTACCTTCCACTTATGAGAAAAAACAATTTGCTGCTTTAAGTAGTTTTTCTACCTTCTCCCCCTCAAGAGTCTTAGAACTGCATTTCCCCTAGGCAACTTGTTATATGTTTTGTAAATATGAGCTCCTAGATCATAGTAGGTACTCAACAAATTATTTTAACCTTTCCTTTGCTATTTACTGTGAAAATGAGTAATTCTCTAGATTAGCCAGTGTACCATTATTCAGTGTCAAGTAGACTCAATGTGTGAACATTCATTGGTGTCTTTTATAGCACAAGTGTTACATTGTGGCCACAGTTGACCGAGACCTTAAACGAAGGATCCGGAAGATTCCTGGAGTTCCCATCATGTACATTTCTAACCATAGGTGAGAACTGTCTCTTGGGGGAAGCGATTAAAAGTATAGACAACTGGGGCACCTGGGTGGCTCAGTGAGTTAATGCCGCTGCCTTCGGCTCAGGTCATGATCCCAGGGTTCTGGGATCGAGCCCTGCATCGGGCTCTCTGCTCAGCAGGGAGCCTGCTTCCTCCTCTCTCTCTGCCTGCCTCTCTGCCTACTTGTGATCTCTGTCTGTCAAATAAATAAATAAAATATTAAAAAAAAAAAAGTATAGACAACTGATAACAATTAAATAGATAGCTGATATCAATTAAAAATGAGGTCAGGTTATAGGAAGATCCGAAAGCAATTGTTGTATCAAATGCGTACATAGTTACATTTGAAAAAGTGAGACAAAGTAATAAGAACGAGGGCAAAAGATAAAACTAGGATTTGGGGATGAGGCAGACATTCCTATTGCTACAGTAAGATTACCAGAAGAAATAGAGATGTGTAGCTTTAAATACAAAGCAGTCATTTGAATTAAGCTAATCTTTTTGGCCAGAAATATCTCTTTTTTTTTTTTTTCCTTGAAAGCCTAGTATATGTGATCAGCACCTCATCTGGGAAATTAAAAGCTTATTAAAAAGCATACCTGGTCTTTATCTTGCTTGGATGTTCCCATGTTAGTGCTCATTCTCTTACTGTCTCGCTTTTCAACCTGGGAAGAACACAGTATAGTGGGAAGAATATGGGCTGGGAGGAGCTGGGTTTACCTGGACTTAGTGCCTGGCTCCCTTACTTGTTAACTTTCGATTTTGAAGAATAAAGATAATATATTAAAGTCAGCATTTTGCTAAAAATCACTCATTACGCTATCCCTTTAAAATGTTCCCACTGACAGGAAGGATTCATAGTGGGGAGGTGAAAGTGTTGCAGTCAGTAAAGGATGGGTTTTTAGGTGGGTTCTGGACCCACTTTCTTACCAGTGTTAATTTTTTGTCCTAATTAGGTACAACATTGAGCGGATGCCAGATGATTACGGAGCCCCTCGGTTCTAATTCTTAAAAGATAGAGTTCCTCTGCCTTCCTTTACCAACTTTTTCTGTTGCTGGTTCATATTAGCAACATGCTATAGCATGAATTATTCTTCTTACCCTTTTCCTGTTATGAGCTGAGTATGGTTAAATACACTCACTTTTTGGTATTGTTTTGAGATTGATAATTTGTATCATTTTAAATATTGTTGCATTTTTTTTTTATAAATCAGATGATTGCTCATATAATTTGGTGGTGGCTATTTTATATCGATTTACTCAACATATATTTATTACAGTTATCCTCGGTACTTAATAAGATATGGTCCTTCCCTGAAAACATTCGTATTATAATAGGGGAAAGAGAAACATGTATGTGAATAAATATCGTCATATAATGGTGTCAAGTTAAAGGTATGAGCGGATAGACCTGTGTATGAGAAAAGAATGATTTCTTTCTACTTGGTTGGAATGGGGAGGGAGGTAGGGCTAGAGGTAGTTATATTTGAGTTAATCTTTAAAAGTGAATAAGTGCTTGCCCAGTATATGAACAAAGAAACGAGGCATAAGAAACATATGAACAAAAGTACGGAGACGTGGATGTTACATGGAATGATTGCTTCGCCTGTGCAAACACTACCATACGGTTTTTCTAACTAGAACATGGGGAAAAGAGATCTAGCCTGCATCTGAGACTCCAGGGGAGGGAGGTAACTGGGAGGGGGCCTTATATGACATGGTAAAGGGTTTGGACTTGATTGTGAAGTCAACAGGAACTTATTAAAATTTTAAGTAAGGTGAATAATAAGATCAGATTAGATATTTTAAATGATCACAAGGTAATGTAAGAATAGAGAAATAAAACATTGAAATAGAATTGAAAGTCCATAAACTGATATATTTATGATGAGTTGGTATATTATCAAGGTGGTATTTCAAATCTGTGGAACAAGGAAATTTTATTGAAAGGCCAAATAGTGTGGAGTAATTCTTAGTGGGGTTAGACTTCTGATTCCACCACTTACTATCTGTATGAATTGGGCACAGTATAACCATTTGGTGCCTTCCTTGCTACCTCTTTAAAATGTGTTGTCTAAGAAAAAATAAAATAAAATGTGTTGTCTAATCCTCAAAACAAGTCTGATAAGATGGGATGAAATAGTACATGACAATTTAAGTATTGCTCAGTAAATGTCGGTGATTATTATAGTATCATAATGGCTAGTGGGCTATCCATTTGAGAAAAGTTTTTGTATTCCTACTTTATATCCTTCATGAGAATACATTTCAAGTGGGTCAAAGGTCTAAACTTTTTTTTTTTTAAGCTATGGAAGTCTTAGAAAAAGCACAAAAAATGCCTATAATCTTTGTATAGAATTCTCAAGTAAGATGGAGAATTTAAAAGCCATAAAAAAAAAAAGATTAGTAAGTGTGACTATGTTAAAACTATAGATTTCTGTGGAAGGCAGCCCTCCCAAATTAAGACAAGTGGCTGACCAAAAGATCCTCCAATATATTTAACAAGGGTATGAAGAAATGAGTAGTCACGCAGTGGTGAGAAGAGTACAGATGGATATAACTGTTTTAGGTAGCAGTTTGACAGGAGCCCTTAAAAAAAAAATTACAGATATCCAAGGAACCCAGTTATATTTTGGGGTTACTTATAGATATACAGGTGGTTTTCTTTAATATACATGGTTAATGTGATATAAGTGCATAAATGCAATATAAATGTGTAAAGAAACATTCACACATGGGTACAAAGAAGCATCTAGAAGTGTCTTACTGCACCACTGTTTATAATAGAGAAAAACTGAGAAGAATATGTAAAGTTCCATCAAAAGAATCTTAACTATGTTACATCTCTACAGTTAACCCTTGAACAAAGCAAGGGTTGGGGGGGCTGATTCCCCATACAGTTGAAAATCTGAGTATAACTTTTGACTTCCCCAAAACTTAACTACTGATAGCCTACTCATGACTGGAAGCCTTAGTGGTAGCATTAACAGTTATTGCATATTTTGCATGTTATATGTATTATACACTGTATTCTTACAATGACAAAAGCTAGAGAAAAGAAAAGGTTAAGAAAATCATAAAGAAGAGCAAATATGTTTCTGATACTGTATTTTAAAAAAATCCACGTATAAGTGGACTCATGCAGTTCAAACCAATTTTGTTCAAGGGTCAACTACACTGTGGAATGTCATGAGCATTTGAAAAGAATGAAGTAGATTTAAAAATGGGCAAAAGACTTGAATAGATGGTTCTCTGAACAAAATATACAGATGGCCAACCAGCACATAAAAGATGCTTAATGTCACTAATCATTAGGGAAGTGCAAATCAGAATCACAATGAGGTATCACTGCATACCCATTCAGATGGCTGCATCTGAAATAAATAATGAGTATTTACACGGATGAGGAGAAATTGGAACTGTTGTACACTGTAGGAAATATAAAATGGTACAGTCACTGGAGAAAACAATCTGGCAGTTCCTGGAAGAATTAAAAATAGAATTACCATATGATCTGGCAGTTCCACTCCTGAGTATGTACAAAAGAATCAACTCAGGATCTTAAAGAGATATTTGCGCATCTGTGTTCACATCAGCACTTCTAACAATAGCCAAGAGGTGGAAGCAATCCAAGTGTCCATTTACAGATGAATAAATAACCAAAATGTGATATATACATACAATGGAATATTATACAACCTTAAGAAGGAAGAAAATTCTGACACATCCTCCAACATGGATGACCCTTGAGGATGTTATGCTAAGCGAAAAAATTGTCACCAAAAGATAGGGGTGCCTGGGTGGCTCAATGGGTTAAGCCTCTGCCTTTAGTTCAGGTCGTGATCCCGGGATCCTGGGATCGAGCCCAACATCAGGCTCTCAGCTCAGCGGGGAGCCTGCTTCCTCCTCTCTCTCTGCCTGCCTCTCTGCCTACTTGTCATCTCTGTCTGTCAAATAAATAAAATCTTTAAAAAAAAAAAGATAAATACTGATTCCACTTACATGAAGTGCCTAGAATAACTGAATTCATAGAGACAAGGTAGAAAGGTGGTTCCAGGGCTGGAGGGAGTGGGGAATGGGGATTTTAATGGGGATGGAGCTTCAATTTTCCAAGACAAAAAGAATTGTGGAAATTGGTTGTACAACATTGTATATGTACTTAACGATATTGAACTATATACACTTTAAAATGGCTAAAATGGTAAATTTTATGTGTATTTTATCACAATTAATAATAGTAAGAGCTATATTGCTTACTTGACCTAATGTTAAGAAAAAGAAGCAACTCGTAGAACAATGAGGTGTGGTGTGATACCTGTTTCACTTTTTTTTTTTAAACCACAAAATTATGTAACTGTTAATATGGTAATAAACATACATGGATAGAAAAAGTTCTGAAAATAATTCTTTTCCTATTCTCCCTTCTCTGCTAACAGTATTACCCTTAGAGAAATCCACTGTTAAAGGACTGGATTATGGCTCACTGCTATCCCAGCACATAATATGGATGTTTCATCTTCCTGGTTAAACCAGTCAGAATATTCTTTTTTTTTTTAAGGTGTTTTTTTTTTTAAGATTTTATTTATTTATTTGACAGAGATCACAAGTAGGCAGAGAGGCAGGCAGAGAGAGAGAAAGGAGGAAGCAGGCTCCCTGCGGAGCCCGATCCCAGGACTCTGGCATCATGACCTGCGTGAAGGCAGAGGGTTTAGCCCACTGAGCCACCCAGGTGCCCCAAGTCAGAATATTCTTATACCCTTTGCCACTGCAATTACTTCAAACCTGGGAGATCAAACTCAAGCCAAATAGTCTTAACCAGAGCTTTTACTGGAGATCTGTTAGCTAATGTAAGCTTTGAAACTGAGTGATCATATCTGCCAATACTTTGGAAAAACCAACCTGGATTTTACTTTGATTGCATTGTCAAACTTAACCTTAACTAATGTAGGATATATGTCTCCTCAACCAACAGAGAGGAAAAATGGAAAAGGGAACTCAATCATTTAAAAAAACTCAAAAAAACAAAACAGATTTTGTCAAAACCCAGTGAACTGCATCCCTGGAGATTTGCATATTTTGCTATCTGTAAATCGAAAAAGGGAAGAAGAAAAAAATACAGAAGAGGGGAGGGAAGAAGAAATAATGGTAAATAGAAAACATAAAGTAAGATGGTAGAGAAAGGTTCAAATGCACAGTAGTTATGATTAATGTGACTATATAAGTTTTCTTACTAAAGGACAAGTGCACGGGGCGACTGGGCGGTTTAGTCGGTTAAGCATCTGCCTTTGGCTCAGGTCATGATCCCAGAGTTCTGGGATCGAATCGCACATCCGGCTCCCTGCTAAGTGGAGAGTCTGCTTCTCTCTCTGCCTCTGCCCCTCCCCCTGCTGGTGTGTTCTCTTTTTTTTCTCTCTCTCCCTCTCCCCCTCTCTCAAATAAATAAAACCCTAAAAAAAAAAAAAAAAAAAAAAAAAAACCGCACAGGTTGGATATTTTTTAAATCTTACGACTGTGTGATATTACAAAACATGCCTAAAACAGAATGACACAGAACAGTTGGAAATGATAGGAAATTACACTTAACTGCACAACCTAGTAATTCTACTTCCTCGGAAATCTACCCAAATGAAAACAATATTCACACAAAGACTTGTACACCAGTGTTTATGTTATCTTTATTCATAAAAGATAAAAACTGGAAGCAACCCAAGTATCTGTGGACAAGTAGATGGAGAAACTGTGGTGCATTCACAGAATGGAGTACTATTTAGCCATAAAAGGAATGAGCTGATACAGCAACACAGGCGAATGTTAAAATAATCAAGTTGAGCAAAAGAGGCCAGACACAAAAGAATATATACTATATGATTCCATTTATATGAGATTCTAGAAAAGACTAACCTGTAGTGATGGTAAATCATTAATTGCCTGAGGTGGGGATGGCAGTTTGGCTGTATATAGATACAAAGGAATTTGGGGGGTTATGGAAGTGTTCTCTCTCTTTTTTTTTTTAAGAATTTTGGGACGCCTGGGTGGCTCAGTTGGTTAAGCAGCTGCCTTCGGCTCAGGTCATGATCCCAGCGTCCTGGGATCGAGTCCCACATCGGGCTCCTTGCTCATCAGGGAGCCTGCTTCTCCCTCTGCCTCTGCCTGCCATTCTGTCTGCCTGTGCTCGCTCTCCCTCTCTCTGATAAATAAATAAAATCTTTAAAAAAAAAAAAAAAGAATTTTATTTATTGGGGCACCTGGGTGGCTCAGTGGGTTAAGCCTCTGCCTTCGGCTCGGGTCATGATCTCATGGTTCTGGGATCGAGCCCCACATCAGGCTCTCTGCTCAGCAGGGAGCCTGCTTCCTCCTCTCTCTCTGCCTGCCTCTCTGCCTACTTGTGATCTCACTCTCTCTGTCAAATAAATAAATAAAATCTTAAAAAAAAAGAATTTTATTTATTTATTTGACATAGACACAGCGAGAGAGGGAACAAGGCAGGGGGAGTGGGAGAGGGAGAAGGAGGTTTCCCACCAAGCAGGGAGCCTGATGCGGGGCTTGATCCCTGGGATCATGACCTGAGCCAAAGGCACATGCCACCCAGGCACCCCTGTGGAAGTGTTCTATATTTCTCTTGTTGTGATGGTAACTTGGATATATTGATTTGTCAAAATGCATTGACATGTACACAAAATGAGTGTGTTTTGTTGTGCATAGATTATAATTAAGTAAATTAAAAGAAAGAAAAAGACGTGCAAAAAATATGCTGCTTGAATATGCAATATGGAGAAT